CAGCCGGTCGAGGGCCACAATTTGAAACTGTTACCTTCCGGAACCTGATGAATCTGTTGCAGCGAAAACGCGTTCGTACTAGTGCATGTCACTCGGCTTCTAACGGTTTGGTAGGACGCTTCCATCGGCATCTTAAGGCTTCAATAATGGCGGTCAGCGATGTAAAATGGACTAAATCTCTGCCTCTGGTTCTTTTCAAAGTTCGTTCGACCCCTAAGATGAATATACAGCGTACTATTGTCAAGCTGGCCCACGGAATTGGCCTGCGTTTACCCGGCGAACCGGTCGCTCCAGATTGCAGGGTGCCTGCCCCTGCTGATACCCATGGCTGTGGACAAACCCTCGAACTTCACATAAGTTGTCTCCAGCCGTCTCCCACATGAACACAGCGTAGACTGGTACGGTTGCACAAGAGGCTTCAAGATTACACAAATATCTTTGTGCCCCCGTGGTGGTGTACAGACACCCTTACAGCCGTAATACTACTGATCGCACAAGATTGTCAGCAGAAAGAAGTTCTTTCTCATCGATTGGTTAGGACGGCAAGGCACCTCAAGTGTCGACCGCCTAAAGACAACTTTTATTGGTGAAGATCTGAACCTCTCTGCACTGGATTCCTCAACGTGAGTATTTCTTCAGAAAATGAAGAAGGACTCTCAGCCTTGGAAAGATAATGAGTCTGCCTGTACAAAAATCACTGGCAGTAGTGGCAAAGCATCGTTTGCACGTATGGGTCCACGCGTTCACTGACTTAAACGCCTGACACACTTTATCATTTGACTCTCTAAGATTTTCGGGCCTAGACGAGTGTTTCAAAAGAAATCATAAAAATGGTAAAAATGTAGGCGCGCAAAGCCCTCCAACATCTATTATTAAGACGTCTTGTGCTTCACTTCTTAATTATGCGTGTCATGCGGTCTGACTGACTTTGTTTTAATCCAAATGAGACCAGTAGGAACGTGTATTATCGGATACAAGTTGCATACTGGCGATACCAAATGGATCCCTCACCCGTTTCTTACACCGATTCCCCCTACACACTTCCTCTTGAAGCTTAAGGTCGGTCAAGGAAATGTAGATGGGGGGTTTGTTTTGTCTACCATCACTGCGAGAGGGGTTGCATCTAGCCACAAAGCTCAGTTACCTCGCAGGTGGGCATAGTTGTACTGACTTTGGAGACCCGAATGTCGTCTACTCCATCCTCAAAATGGAAAGGCGTTGCGTGCCCGACCCGTAGTTGCCTCCTAGGGTCTCGGATTGCCGGTATTCTAGAAACCTTTTACGACGGGGATAACCTGTGGTGGACTTTCTTGGTATGAAAATGCTGCCAGAAGTCTAGTAACCATTGGGGACTGTTCATTATGAATAACGTCGCTCGCAGAACCAGTTTATTCCTAGTGACGACCCGTGTTTTCAGTTCACGACGATCATCTTACCACTGATGAATATAACAATTGGAGTGTTATTGTGTTTTAAACTGACGCACATTTGGGAGAATCAAAACCTTGGCACTGGTGAACCTCGTAAGAGTTACGTACATGTGATTAACTCATTTCGCAAACACTTCTAATGAATGAAAATTTAGCCAGATCTAACGGTCCCCATAGATTTCACATAATCTCTAAAAGCTCGATGGTGAACGAGTGGTGCTGAAATGCAAAAGATGCGGGAAGTCAGCAGAAGTTTCATTTTCAACTAATGCAGAGCTTGTAAATGGTCTTTCCGCTGTACATAACTGTCGTTTTCCCTGAGGGTATGCACATTATTGTTACGTGGTTTACGACACTTGTTTTAGTTTTACAGGGAAGCTATATGCTCCCGAAATCCGCCGCAAACAATTAATATGCTCCAAAGTTTCGACCAAAGGTATGTGATCATACTCGTAAATGTCACATAGCTTGGGGGAAAGGAATCAACGGGAAGTACTCTTCTAGAGGAGAGTGAAAATGTGGAACTCGATTTTCAACACACACAAATGCTAGTGCTCTGCAGATGTTCGGACATTTCAACAGTTATCCTGTCGTCCTACAGCTTTTACGATTCCTTACATAATTCGGCAACTATAACGGATGAAATATCAAGGTATCGTCCAAAGGTTCTTACGGATACGTAGGTAGGATCAACCATTTGTCGACCGGGTATTAGGAAACATCTAAAACGTGAAACTTTCGCCAGCTCTCGTTTTTGACACACCAAAGGAAACACATCGAGACTGCCTGTTTCAAAGGAGTAGAAGGATATTATCAACAATGACCGAATTCCGCCTGCCCTAATTTTGATGCGGAGTATGTGCGTTTGGTGTACTGGAAAGTATGTGTAGTGTGAAGATGACACATTGCAGCAAACACTCGTGTTTTCCTTCAGCCTCATCTTGCGCGATTTCATGTAGACGGGTGAACAGCAAACGGTTTAGAAAAAGTTAACGCACAGACGAAGCACTGTGATAGTTATATATTTGGGCTTTAAATGATAAGATTCACGGCATCTTAAGAGATCTGTGATCGCTGATTTCGTAGATTAATCAAACCATGTATCCATTCAGTCACAATTGTTTTTCTGTTGTTGTCCACCAGCAAGCTTTACTGAACACGGAGATAAGCAGGTTACAATAATCGCAACTGTATCATGGAGGATTGCGGCCGTGCAACCATCAAATGAACGGGTGACAAAAAAACGCAAACCAGTATATCGGCCTCATAACAACCGCTACCCACGGGTCAGGCTTGCAATCTAGTGATCAGTTTTGATGGGCGTGTTTAGGGTGATTTAACAAACCAGCGAAAATGACAATTTATATGATGATTCTCCATCTTGTTGCAGACATGAACCGGTTTTGAGTGGTGGTAAAAAACACACGTGGTCACATTCTCAGGCGTACGCCTATGAAATCAGCTTAACGAAAGCAGGTTCCAACATCAAAGAATCTGATATTTCAACTTAGTTTGTCTATTGGCATTTTCATCCAGTGAAATAGTATTATCTACTGGATACTCCAGTTTTTAGGTGCTCCTATACTCTGTGATGCTGCTGAACGTCCTGGTCAGCTTGCCGTGGCAGATGCTGAGGAAAGGCGCATTTTAAGAATGACAACTCATTTGTGTGCTTTGAGGACCAATGTCTGACGATAAAAATGTCCCCACCAAAATGCGTCACAGATTTCAATCTCCACTTCTTTGTCAAGACGTACAGATTTCGCCATGTTCCATGGCAATAAGGTGTTTCGGAAAATGTCCGGAACATGTGGAGACGTGTGACAGTTATCAAGGAGGTCAGTCTCATGAGTGTAGCAGAAAAAGGTACCGAAAATTAGCCGAAAAAGGTGGGCTATGGAGCCATCGCCTATGCTTGTAGCTGAAACCTGGGAGTGCAGTCAGTAGAGTTGATTGTACGTCAGTCAGTTTCGTAATGATTGCCTTTGCACCTGCACAAAATATACATCGCGAACAATCCAAGAAGTTGCTTAAGTCCATATGTGCAACCCTCTGGCTGTGGTCAACTTCACTCAAGGAAGGAACTGAAATCTTGGCCCCTACGGTCTGAAAGTCTTCGGCAACCTTCCCCATAAAAACTTTCACGTGACAGTCGTTGCGTGAGAACTTGAGACACTGCAATGACTTCGTCAAACACATGTCACTCTTTTATTTTGATGAAAAAAGTGCAGAGAAAGGCAGGTAAACTATCGTCATGCTAAGAGCTGGGAAACAGGCCCATCTTCTGCACTTACTTGTTTAGCCCACTTCAAACTTATTAAGATTAAAGCCCTATAAATTGAACTAATTTCCTCCTCCCAGATTACCTGGTTTTTCGATAAATGACCTACCCACTCAACTTACTTGTTGAATTTCATATGAGACTGTAACGGATAAGTGGGTCCCGAAACTGAGTGTCTCAGGGTTCTACTCAAGTCCACTACTGCTTCTTCCCTAATTTTTCGTTCACTGTTATACGTCGATGATCTGAAGAGTTGAAAGGCAGTACGGGTGCTAACAGATATTTCAATCCTTCAAGAAGAACCTACAAAAATCCTAAATTGGGTTATGGAAAACCTGCTTCACCTCAAGTCGAAGACGTGTAAGACAATGATTGTTGGCGAATACGAAAGTGGCTCTAGTCCTCACTCTCCGAGGAAAATAAATATCTGTCACTCAATCATGGAACAGGAGCTTGCAGTCAGTTAACTGGTGCACCTGGAGCCTAGACCCACTTCCGCCTTGCAGTCATGGGGACTTATTAGATTTTGAAGCCTGTTTCACGAACTTTATGGGGTTTAACTCCGACTCTTTTCACCACAGTGTATAGGCTCTATTTTCGTCCCATCTCGAAAAGGTTTCTCGTGATATCTCCGTACTTGAAGAAGGAAATAGTCAACCCAGAACGGGAACAGAGAAGAGATACGAAGAAAGTGATCCGGTTACGGTACAAACCTCACCTACATCGCTTAGTTGCCCTATAGCTGCATCTAGCACAATACTCGAGGATCAAAATACATAATACTGCCCATAGTTCCCCTCATCCTAACAGATTCTTTTTAAGCTTTAATCGGAAACGACACCGTAGGGGTCGCCGGTCAAAATTAGAGCATGTGGGAGCACGCACAGAGATCTGTGCTAACTCGTTTGCAGTTTGAGTTCGTAAAACGTGGGACTCCCTTACTTCAGAAGTAGTTACAGACACCTACTCTGCTGATGACCTTACAAGAGGACTAGATGCATATTTGGAGTCTCGTGGTACCGATGGAGTGTACTTGAGAAGCTTCCCAATATCTACAGATCAGGAGGAGGAATACTACCTTGTATTATGATTATTATTTGTCCCTTGGGTTCCTAATGGAATATAGGGCTTCAGTAGCACGTCTTCAGTGCACTCTGTTCTCTGCAATCTTTTGAACTTGGCTTCACGACTGCCAAGAAGATTTCATTTCTTTCTCACACGATCTCTTCCATGTAACCTTGAGATCAAAATAATTATCAGTTAGTTATCTCTATCCTTTCAGGTTCATTGAAACCAGAAAGACAACTGTGACTATTCGGAACATAGAACGTATTCCAATAAGACGGACGCAGAATTTAAGGAAACTTTGTTCACTAATTCTACAACACAAAGGTTGAAGTTTGAAGCGACTTTGGCGGTTGATTTAGTTGTTTGTTAAGAGTTTATTTTTGGGTAGCAAAAATGGCATGTACAAAGACAAAACGACGAGCGCGTAACCGTACACAGCGTTTCACTTCAAATGTGTTTTCTATGTTTAATGAAGCTCAAATTAGTGAGTTCAAGGTAAGTCGTTTCACAGTAGTACTTTGATAGGTCGTACAGTTCGTATAAAAAATTAATGGTCAGTAAATATTTCCGCAAAAATTACTAGGGGCCTTGAAAAAAATTACAATAAAAGTCATGGGGAAAATATGAAGCTCTTCAGCATTTTTCAACGTCTCGCCCCTTTTTTCCCCATGCTTCGCCCCACCTTTTTTCTGGCTTTTTCCTCGTCTTTACCTATTTTGCCGCATATCGTTTATTGTTTCCTCCAATCGTTTTTCCCACGCAAGCTAATTCTGTAAATTGCGCCAAGTTCTGCAGTAAGCTTTCATATGTTACGAAGCGTGCGTTTTAAAGTAGCCAAAAGCTTGCATGCTTGGTATGCATGCTTCCCAGTAAAAACCTAATCCTTTCACTACATGTCGGTGGTGTATTATCAGGTATCCTATCTGTTAAGCAGAGGCTGATGTAATAGGATGAATTTCCATATTAGTAAGGAATATATTACGAAAGTGGCATAACATAGATGTTTATTTTCTGACAGTTCGTCACTGTTTTGTCCAGTCAAATCTGATGGGATAATCTCCACTCAGCCTTTTCTTCTTCTCCCTGCACCATGTTACTTGGAGTTGTGAAATTTAAGTAGGTATGCGGTCATCTCATTCGCCTACCGTCATGGTTTCTAAGGTTGCAGACCATGTATTAATTTCTTAATGATGCTTCCTTTGCGTTTTCTTGGCAATTCTCATTTGCTCCCAAGGTTTTCGCTCTTTGGTTTACGGAGCTGATTTTCAACCGGTGGGTTGCGGCTTCAAACATCACCCCGCCTACCGAGTTTCTGACAGCTAATTAGTATCATAAGACCCCACACAATGTGTGGCTCATTGCCTATTGCCTGAATGTGCCTAGGATTACTAAGTGGCTTTCGACTCGGTTTCCCGAAAAATAAAACCTTAAACACTGGCTGCAAATTATTTCAAATAGTCATATCCAAACGCTTCCGTATTATTCCTCTTAGTTTTGGCACTAGATCAAAACAGTTAGTGAGTAAATTCATCGTTACTCAGTTTCATTTCCAATACCTTCAATTCTTCCATTGAAGTAACAAATCAACCAGTACCAACTGAGATGTGGTCGGTAACTGCTATCGCTGTTAGTTGTTTAGGCTCAGGAAAGGGCATAAACTGAATTCACAGCAACGTTTTTCAGTTAGCCTGTAAGCGGTCTCAAGCAAGTTAATGAACTTACGATAACTGTCCCATCAACTTTTGTAAACGTAGCTGTATCGAGAAGACAGAAGTTGGAGCTGTAGAGAAACAGTGGGACGTACGAAGCTGACTCCTGTCTGCCTTCGATCCACTCAGCCACTTTGTGCATATCCGTGCAGTAAGCCGTGAGTCACACAATTTAAGAGGGCTAGTGATATTACCTAGCTGGCCAAACATCGGTAGATGAAGCCTTCGATGACAGCACGGGTGACCTACAGCATAACCTCAGACTACTAACAAAAAGTTGCAACATCGGTGTGCTGCTTATGACTTCTGGTGTTTTGCTGGAAACGTAAAATATGTATGCAAATGTAGTTACATGTCTGGTTGATCGGCAAACGTCGGGTTATCCGGGCTGCAGAAATCAAAGTTGGAGTTCTCAATAATTGATATAGAGTACTCATCAAATATAAAGTTAACACCTATCAGTACTGATTAACTTAGATTAAAGTCTCTGAAAAGACGTGAATTTCGCCAAAGTTACTAACGAGTTTGTGCTAGAACAAAACCCGAGTTCATGGTTTCCAGTCAGTTGACTCCAAAATCGCAATGTACTGCAGTATCTTATCACACCTTAGTGGCTTGGGTCAATAGTAAACACCTCGAACTTGACAGCTGCATCAATTACCATACCGACCAGTATGTGTACTAGAGCATATCGTACCCACCTTTTGTTCAGTAGAGATATTCTAATCAATTAGGGGTCACCACAGACTACGTTGCGATGCTGATGCAGTATCAAGATGAATGTTTCTCAACAGTGTCAAGTAGATGTATGAAAAGATGGAAAATATAGAATTAAATCGGTGATATATTGATGACCGTTTTATTGTATGTAAGAATAAACGGACGAAACAACAAAATCAACGTAGAACCTCGCAAAAAAATACATCGGTTCAAGTTGCCACACTTAACAGTAGCATGCAAAGAACAAGTTCGTAGAAAAAGATCGACAAAGATATGTGGAAGGAGGAAAAATGTGAAAATAAAAGTGAAAATATTCATACTTTAGCGTGAATGTATCTGTACGATTGTGACTATTTGGCCTGCTGTAACTCCCTGAATAAGTGAAGTGGTCAACGCACTCAAACACTTCATTGCCTATCCTTAAACTGGAAGTATTGGAGAGGAGTCCTGAAGCATGAGCATACATTTGGTAGGCCAGGAACTCATGTCAAAGATTTCAGCCTAACGCGTTCAGAATGATTTACCGGTTACGGCAGTTCATTGGAACTGGGTATGATCAAAAGACAAATCCTAATGATAAGTCTGCAATATTAGTGAAAGCAGGATAAGAGAAACATCCAAGCATAAAATTGATTTCCGAAGTCTAGTTGTTCATTCTTTTAAAGAAGGCTTAACTTTATGAGTTGCGATCTGTGATAACCAAAGCGTCTGGTTTGTAACTTTAGTCTGTAATTGATTATGACCCTGCTCCGTTTACTGTGGTTTGAGTAGTTGGCAGTATCATCAGCTTTCACTTATGAGGTTCGTGGCCTAGTGCACAAGCCTGCACCTGTTTATTATGCTAAACTCGGTTTGTGTTTCTTACCGTCTCAGATTTAGTCAGACAGCTTGTGCCAGGATCTCTCCCCAGTTTTCTAGGTAGTGGGAGACTGTGCAATTACTAAAAACTGGAAATTCTCATCAAGATACTCGACTCTTTATTTTAGTCGTATTCTATAAATTCATCGCCTATTACTAATAGCTTCGACATTGTTTCCTGGCCATTCACTATGATAAACTTCAGCACTTGGTGACTATTAACAAAGGTCCATACATTGCATCAGGTGCGTATCATTTCACTCAGTCTCTTTGCTGCAGTTTTTCTTTGTTATTGTGGACCGATGAAAATTAATTGTCTTTTATTTTCACCATTTATATACTCGTTGTTTGTAGCATAAATGCTGTAACGTACGACCTGCTAAGTATGAGCGCAAGCAAAGCGAGAAAATTAGTTATTCAACATTTCACAAGTATGATGTACTCTTTGTGTTATTCAGGTCTTAGTTACCTAAGATCTGCAGTATGTTATGTTAGCAATAATGGAGGTTGTGTACACCTGTAGCTGTAATGACTCTGGTGACGACTTTGAGCAAGTATCGTCTTGTAAAAGTTAGGGTGGCAAGTGCAGGTTTGTACCACGTGTATCGTTGTCTAATAGTGCTGCTTTTTGTGAGGTTGATACGCAAGGCCTCATTGAACACGTGGTTGTCGTTCGACTACTAGCTTTCATCATTCTCATCCTTAGCAATCACATAGGTAATTCTAAAGGCAAACGTATAATATTTACGGTTTCTGAATAACTCAGTAAATAAAGTCTTGTTGCGGCAATTTTGACAGGTTGGATATTTTGAGTTTCACTTTATAGGGTTCTATATCATGAACTTTGTGGAGGAGAAATAGCTAAAAAACAATTATTGTTGAACCGTGGAGAAAGGTTGTCGTATCACGTCCACATCTATTATTGTTATTGTTATTTTGATTGCTTACTGTTATGATTAAAAGACAAACATGGTACAGCACAAACACCAAGAAATACGCCACACAAAACGATATAACAACATTATTAGGACATGAAGCGAAGGGAAGTGGATAAGTAAGAAAGAAAAACACAACAAGCATAGCATGATTAAAAGCGCAGTATAGTAAGATACATTTAAAACAGAATATTCATTACTTTTGAACAGCAAAAGATAGAATTAAGCTACAGCATAACCGCCACTGGTGTCGATTCTGAGCCATATCGGATAACGTCTCAAGCCACTGAGTTCCATGACCTATCAGACCCCGACCAGATAGTCGTGATACACCAACAGATACTAACCCAATACAATTATCCTTCATCTCAGGTTTGCGTCATACTCTGACCGCCCCTCCGCCTCTTGCATTCTATCCCAGAGCTAGCAGACAATGAACCGTATGGAAGCTATTGAGACAACATGCGTAACATGTTTAAGCCAGTGAAGCTGGTGTTTCAAGATATGACTTTACTTATTGAATGACGATTTTCATCATGTCCAAATACACGCTATTGTACCTCAGACCTGCTTACATGGTGTTACCACCGAATACGAGCAATCCTACAGAGACAACGATGATTAAACACCGAGTCGTCGCATATCATCAGCTCGGAGAGGCCAGGTTTCACTGGCGTAGAGCTGGATTGCTTGTACCGAAGCGTTATAAACCCGACCTTTCACGGTCAGACTAACGTCACGACGGCCCCAAAGGTGGTCATCGTTGACGTATGCCACTCTGGCTTTCATTATACAAACAACCCAGATGCTTGAACTTTTCGACTACTTTTAACGCTTCACCGCCGGGGGTGAGCACGGGCTCCTGCCAGTCTTGCGAAAATATTTTTCACTTCGATGATGCAAGCACATACCATACTTACGAACAATGATCGTCAACTGACTAAGTGTGATTTGAGTAGCCTGTGTTATCGCACAGTAAGACGATATTATCCACGTATTCAAGATCGTATATCCGTTATCCGAGTGGTAGATCGACACCATCACGCACCTCCTTCAGAGCTGTCTTAATAATGTCATCGGTAGCACAACTAAAGAGGGATGGAGAGATCAGGTAAACCTGCCTAACTCCACTTCTGGTTTCTAACAATGGGAATAGCTGGTTGTATGCCCTTCCTCTGCCTGAGATGTTATTATATAGGGTTTTCAAGATGTTAATAAATTTTTAAGGTATGTCCCTCTCTAACAGACAATTCCAGAGTACAGCTCTTTTCAAGGCGTCAAAGGCCGCCCTGGTGTCAAGAAATACGACAGTTGTTGGCCTGTAATACGTCTGGCGATATCCAACCATCTGCTGGAGGGATGGCTTCACTTCAGAGTGATAAAACACCCTCAGTCTGTCATACCTTCTCAAACAATCTAGTCAGTTCCCTGACTAGAAGACCTGGGATAAGTTGTTTTTGAACCAGGTGCTTTGTAGCGTTTCAGAACATGGATCTCCTTATGAACCACCGCTTGCGTTCGGTGGGTCAGCGTCAATTGACCATGGAGGAAGATACACTGAGAATGAAGATCCCGGAGCCTTGGGCCACCTGAACTACTTTTCGAAGTGCTCCGTTCAGTGTTCCAGGGGTCTCCGAAGATTGCTCGTCGGCGTACCATCTACTTCGCAGACCATCTCACTGACACCAAGGTTCTTGCTGCCAGTGGCTCGGATGAGCTGGAACAGCGTCCGACTATTGCCAGATGCAGCTGCTGCTTCTATCCCATTCGCACGTTCTGACCACCAAACCTCACGGGCCCTGCATAAGCGTTGTTTAACCTTTCGTGTAAGAGACTTACTCAGACCATTATACTCGTTATCTGCCGAAATGGTCTGACGGACGTCAAGACGTCACAGGGAGCTTGCAGAAATCAAGCGTTTACTGGCGAGTTGTTCTTCCGAGCTGACAGCGGCTTTACTAGCCATTTTCATGGCGTCTTGCAAGTGAAACCGATTCTCGTCTACACTTTTCTTTGGGGTGGGGGGTGGGTGGGAGGTATCTAGCCTTAAATCTAGCTCGAATTGGTATTTAGCTGGAATGTTAGGTGGAACTAATTTGGTTGCATAGATCTGATTAGGACGTCGATGACCCCCAAAACGCAATACGAGCTTAGCACACACTAAAGCATGACCAGAGTCCGGACAAGTACTTTTAATAGATCGACAGTCCTTTATGCACCCACACCATTCGTAACTAATTGCAATATGACCTACTGGAGTCCAGGCTTGAGTGGCGGAGGGGGGATGCTGATCACAAATAAGTTGTGATCTGCGCAAAGCTTCAGCAGACGATCCCCTGCAGCCAACCAGTCAGTCCCCATTAGCCACCTAAACGACTCTCCTCTGAGCCTAGACGCCCTGCCTTGGTATTCAAGCTTTCAGCTGGCATTACGATATCTATCGAGCGCACTTGGTTGAGAAGATCACTCAGTTGGTGATAGAATTCATCATTGGTTGCATCCGGGTTGCAATCAGTCGGAACATAGGCAGAGATGACTACATCGTTTCTCTTGCCGGTTACTTCTTACTCGAGATGAACCTTCTAGCCTAACAGCACAGATGACTGTTGATGGGTATCCAACCAAGTAGTGCAGCTTCGGCTCAAGCGTTTAGTGCGACACCCACACCATAGAGGCCGGTTACCGATGCCACAGAGTGCACGGATGAGCGCACACGAAACATACTCCTCGAGCTCATAGATGGGGAATTAATTCGAAGCGCTTCGCTTGTATGCAGTTGACCAGAATAGGTTCATACGCCATTCGTTTCATCTCGAACCTGAAGCCCATGAGTACCAGTGGTTTGGAATGGTTTTCCAACCCCTTAGGTGGACCCTCAGTATCCATCAATCCAGTGTTTAATGCCGGACGTGTTGATGCATCCTAAATCAATTATCTTACGATGTCGCTACGTACGGTGTTCTGACTACTTTATAACCCCTTCGTATCCTATATAAACCACGGAAATCTTTATATATACTTCTGTTCCTATCCTTTACTGTTATCTTATCCTTTACTTATAGTAAAGGATATTTCATTTAGCCTTACAGTGCTTTAGCGGTATGAAGTTTTTTCGACATGTAATACAGAGCACTACAATATTTCACAAGTTGCAGGAGGTTTCTATAGAAAATCTCCATCACATTTCATCTAACCTGTAACTACATCCAAGTATAAATACATTTTAAATCGATAGCTTGACTTCTTGGCAGTCATTAACTAAACTACAGCAGCATTGGTCAGCATTGAAGTTTTCGTTGCGTGAGAACAAGAAGTCTTTTGGAATTTCGGATTTGTGCTATTGATAATAAGCAACGTACAACCGCTCATCTTGCCTAAAGGAATATCGTTCTTTTCGACTGTCTACATAGTGCAGAAGTTCAAGAGGTGGAAGAAAACAGTTGTAAAGAAGATAATTATTCATAGTTGAAAAATTAATATTTAAGTACATATCTCTTGGTCAGTCAGAGGTTTTGCATGTTTCGTTGTCTTGTAACTAAAGAAAGTATCAAATCATAGGATAACGAATCATCCACCGCGGGGATTGAACTCTTCTTTTTTAATCTGGTCACTGTTACTTCTGCCTCAATTCCAACTGCTTTCGTGTGTTTAGCTCATTTGTATAAGCTTTTACATACTCCTGTTGGATAGGTAGTGTTATAGACCGCCACATATGTATGTATCTCAGTTTAAAATTTAAAAATATACCAGGTTCCTGAGTTATATTACTACTTATAAGTGTGGCACATTGACGCTCATTTTATTGGTCCTGAGTTCAAATCGCGATCCACTTCATCCTGGGTGACCGGGTAGTTCCATAAGCCCTTACACTGTCACTTGTAACCCTATTATATATATATATATATATATATATATATATATATATATATACTTAATGTTAGGTAAGTGGTTCATATTCTGTAGTCTTTTTCAGTTAGATAATACTGTTATTCTACGGGTTGTAGTGTACCCCCTCTCCTGTGTTTTAGGTGGACAGTTTCTGAAAATTATGCTGACTTGTTATGCATTCATGTGTATTCTAGCACCTACTAATCAGTTTGTTTGTTTTTCAAACTTCTGAATAGGAAGCGTTTCTGATGATTGATTCAACCAAAGATGGAGTTATCGATAAGCATGATTTAGAGGATATTTTTGTTTCTTTGGGAAAGTCACCAAGCGAAGACTACTTGAATGATATGCTTTCACAGGCACCAGGTCAAATCAACTTCACAATGTTCTTAACATTATTTGGTGAAAAGATGATGGGATGTGATCCGGAGGAGACTATTTTAAATGCCTTCGCCTGTTTCGATCCCGATAGGACAGGTAGGTTTTGCGGTAAATATTTATATTCATTGGTTCTTTTGATGAGAAAACTCTTGCATCACAGTAATTTAAAATTCTTTCTAAATGTTTAGGATGGTTTCATTTTTCTGCATTATGTTGCAAGTTTTCGCATATCGAAAACAAAGATAATCATTATCGAACAGTTTCCTGTGGATTTAAACAAAACCACATAAGACTGTTAATATGACCTATGCACTTCACATTCACATGAAGTTCCGGCACGGTATTCAACGGATTTGGTTAGTATTAGGGCCTTAAAGTTCACCAATAAGTTTACACTGGTTCTATATATGTGGAATTACGGTAGTTCAAACTTGACCGTAAACCGGGTTCTCCTTTTCGGTTTAAGTCATTATTTCTGTAATTAGTAAGAGTTGTTTGTCATAAATTTTGTCATGTGAGTTGTCAATATTGACGAAAAATTGTCATCTTTTTATGTACTGTTAGAGGAGGTCGTTTTGTGTAAATCCGTTATAAGTTACTCCCTAGTTTATGCTGAATGTTGTTTCAAATAGGCGCTTACCCGTTTGCAAATAACTCGCTTGCTTTCTTAGTGATGTGATTGTCAAATAAGCATTCATAATGGAGAATATTTATTGTTCAGGAGGATGACTTAAATAGTGTTATGTTCTCTGGGCAGAATGGTTTAATCGTGGAGCTTTCGTTGTCATTCTAGACAATATCATCAGCAAAAACTTCACAAAGAAGTAGTGAACTATAGTGTTTTCTCCACAAGTGGCTTAGTAGATAGTTATGATAGCTTTGTGTGTGATTCGTTGTTTCTGCCAAAGTCTTGTCACTGTCTCCATATTTATTTCGAATGCTTGTCCTGCTGACGTAAACTTTGACCTTGTTGTTGTTTCTTATTGGCTGATAGACTAGATCGATGTCGATGTGTGTGTTGATAGCTGACAGACTTGAATACCAACCTTCTAAAATTTCCCTGGGATTCCTTATATTTCCTCTATCCAGGATTGCCACATTTTCCCCGTTAAATTCATTTCTGCAGGTATCCGTATGCATTGATATCAGCGAAGATACGAAGAGGGCGACCACTCTGTTCGATGTAGTGCTTTTGACAGTTTATTATGTGGATAGTGTTCGGTTTGTCTTCCTTTGCCACTGGATCTTTCGGCCTGCATAACTGAGAGTGAAGAGATTTTGGGAAGTTGTGAGCTTCTGGAATTCTGAAAGGCTTCAATAATCTGGTTTTGATGTCGGAGACGTTATTCTTGTAGTGTAAGACAATGCGTGTGTTGGTTGTCGAGGCTAACTTCTTGGTTGATAACGAATAATCGAAATATCTTTTGATTAGGTTGCATGGATAACTGTTCTTCTGGAAAACAGTGATCAAATAGTTTTCTTTTCTCCTCAAGGTTGAAGTATTACAGCGTGTCTTCGCTTTTATGAACAACTATCTTTTTATACAACTGATTTTGTGTTGTGTTGGAATGTTGCAATTGGAGCTGAGGATTTGATGGATATGAGTTGGTTTTCTCTACACTTCAGTTTCCAGTTTTGCCGGATTTTAGTGGGAAAATGTGGCTAGGAATGCCGAAGAACTTTTAGAAGGTTGGTATTCAAGTCTGTCAGCTATCAACACACATATCGACATCGATCTAGTCTATCAACCAATAAGAAACAACAACAAGGTCAAAGTTTACGTCAGCAGGACAACCATTCGAAATAAACATGGAGACAGTGACAAGACTTTGGCAGAAACAACGAATCACACACAAAGCTATCATAACTATCTACTAAGTCACTTGTGGAGAAAACACTATAGTTCACTACTTCTTTGTGAAGTTTTTGCTGATGATATTGTCTAGAATGACAACGAAAGCTCCACGATTAAATCATTCTGCTCAGAGGTCAGAACGCCACCATAGGGTATTAGTTTTGGCTAATGGTCATAGGTGGAATAAATACTTGCCTCAAGTTAGTATTCGAACGAGTATCAATAAGCAGATAATCAATACGCTGCTTCTTGATGATTCAGCTGTATTCTGAGTAGTACGAGAACATCTGGCCAAGCAGCTAGTAGCATTTGAATTTATAGACAGTGACGTGTTCCGAATTTATATGACAATGGGGAAAAATCCTCGGTGACTGAATTGAGTTTAAGACGTGGCCAGTTCTGCTACCACTCAGGTTCTGGTTTCACTCAGTATTGATAACACCAGTCTGTCAAAACTATGGCTATCTCGTATGGTTTTGTTAACAGCTCTATATATTTCTGTTTTAGCTGCTGAAATGAACTGGTTATTGTTTTTCTGTTGCACATAAAGCTTATTTGATAGAATTCTAATTTGCCTATGCTTGTCCCTAGAATTGACTTCAATCATAGTATAGGTTCATGTTAGTCACTTTACTGTCTAGAAGGTTATCACTCTGAGACCATGGATTACAATCTCGGTATCGTTTTAGCATCTATAAATAGTAAATTGATGCAAACATAACGTGATGTAATCACTTGTGCTAGAAAGTTTTGTATTGTTTTAGTTAAATCTAGCAAAATATGCACTTTCAGAGATTTTTTTGTATACTAGTTAGGAATACTTAAAATAATGTTCCAATCAATCATCGTATAATTCATATGACACTATGGTCTCTAATTAAGATACGTTAGCTACGGTAAATAGGATGCGTACATTTGAAGTGTAGATATGTCAGTTTGTTTATCAAGTATAATTGCAGTCACTAACACAAACTGATCATCTACATTTATGATTGTCTATGTCTTCAATTATAAAGCACATTTACCTGCTATGCATATCATACACTTGTAAACTATCTAGCAACGCAGCTGGTTACAACTAAAAACTCACTGTAGTGGTTAAAGAAGTATAGTTTAACTGCAAAAAGTAAAGAAAGTATAGTATAGTAAATTTGTTGGCGAGAAGGAAACAAGTTTGCATCCTTGAACTGAATACTTCAGTTCATCTTGGCGATAAGCAGCTGTTGAATCCAGGACGAGCGTTTCATCCTATTTAGGACACGTCAACTGGACGTATCCCAGTGAGTGATATTGTTCCCACTGGGACTGGAACCCACTATCCATTACTTCGAACACCAATGCGTTGTCCACTGGGACACGGTTACTCGAATGATTCGAAGAGAAATGGCTGATAAAACTAGTGAAAAATGTGTACTTACTGGTCACTTACGTATCATAAATGAGTTTTCTTTCATGGTGTTATTAAAGGACCACAGTAGCAGATTATTCGATGTCAACGCCAACACCTTACTGCTCAGTAATGGTCAACCCAAATCAATTAATAGCTCCATATCACGGCATTTAGTTGACAGTGGATGCACAGTCCGATAAGATTTGTTTGCACTAGTCTAAAAAGTGCGAAGTAATCTTCCGAAGGGTGTGAAAAAACATTTGATTTGTGTTACTGAAGCTTTGGCAATACAACAATGGAAACTGGAATTTCGAATCGAGAAGCGAATTTGCCGTTCCCTGTCCTTATTCACTTCTTAATTCTTGAACTTTCCAGTTCATACCACTTACACAGTTTCCATTCCTGCATTATTTTTATGGGCAAAAACTACCAATTATTATTGATTGAAAAGTGATAACATTTTTACGTGCACTAACTACATTGAAATGCGATTGTACCTCTGCAGCAGATGAATCCGCCAAAAACAGATTTGTTCACTGAAGTCTTTATTCACTTATAATAACAAATGAGGTTCAGCAAAAAATATCACTTCAGTTTTAAATGGTGTCCGCATGCATAAACATCTATTTGGCAGAATCTAATGTTATAACAAGTGTATAGAAGAGTAAAACTTGTGCACTGTATTATTATTATTATTATTTGTCCCTTGGGTTCCTAGTGGGACATACGACCTCAGTAGCACGTCTCCATTTCACTCTGTTCCCTGAAGTCTTTTGAACCTGGGTCCACGACACTACCCAGAAGCTTTCATTTCTTCCTCATACGATCTCCATATCACCCTCGCCTCGGGCGCCCAACTAGTCGTCCCCCCCGCAGGTTCCACTTGAAGGCCTGGCTTGATGCGTGATATCCCCAAATGGTCTTCTCAGTGTGTGCCGAGTCCACCTCCACTTTCTTCTGCATATTTGTTGGGTGGTAGGTTCTTGGCTGGTTCGTTGCCAGATTTCCTTGTTGCCTATTCTTTTTGGCCAGCTGATCTTCAGTATGGAGTGAGCGTAGATGGCAGCTGTTGATGAATGTCTGTAGTTTGTTGGAAATGCTTTTCGTAACGCGCCAACTCTCTGAACCATACAGAAGCACTGAATTGAAGTTGGTGTTGAAACTCTGAATGTTGTTCACGCTTTCTGCTGAGTGCAGTCGATCTCCACACTAATTTCAGATTAATGAAGACCTGTCTTTCTTTTCCGATCCTGGCTTTGACGTCCTCATCTGTGCCACCTCCGTCTCCTGTAGTTGAAACGGTACTGCCTAGGTAGGTAGGTGAAAGAGACTGCTTTCTTTAGGTTTCCCCTGTTGATGGTGATTGGTGCTTGTTGTGGATGCTGTTGTTGGTTGGGTATCTTCATCACTTCTGTCTTCTCTACGTTCTCGTCTTCCTTCGCTGCCCTGCCTCTTCTGCCAACTTGTTAGTTTTTGCCTGTGGACCTTCGAGTTTGTGCTACAAGAAATGAGATATAAATCATCATCGTCGACGAAATCCAAATCTTCTAGGATCTTTCCCCGGTCCAGCCAGCGTATCCCCCTCTTCTCGCTCCTCACGGTTTGTTGCATGATCCAGTCAACCACAATCAGCAAGATCATGGGTGATAGTAGACAGCCTTGTCTTACTCCTGTCTTCACTTCAAAGGCATCACTGAGCTTCCCATTGTGAATTACTTGGCATGTGGCGTCTTCATATAGTTGTTGAATGAGGTTGATAAAGGTTTGTGGTATTCCGTAATGTTGAAGTAGCTGGCTGCCAAATTACTTCTCGGTCGACGCTGTCGAAGGCCTTTTCAAAGTCGATGAGGTTGAGGCTGAGTTGAGTTGACTGCTGTGTTCTATGATGATGCGTGGCGAAGCGTTGCAATTTGATTCGCATATGTTTTGTTCTTCCTGAAGCCAGCCAGCCAGCCTGTTCCGGTGGTAATTTTGAATCCAGAACACCTTTTAGTCTCTCCAGGATAATGTGGGTTAGTATTTTGCTTGGGGTGGACAGGGGTGGAGCATGATTCCTAGCCAGTCCTTGTTCTTGTAGAGACTTAGGTCTCCCTTCTTTGGAAGTTTGACAAGGTAGCCCTTCTTCCAATCAGTCAGCAGGTACCTTTCCTTCCTTCGTTGCAAAGCTTCTGCAGTAGTGATGTGAGGGTGTCCGCTGTCTCTATGCCCTGTGATAGAATATAATTCCATTTTAATTGACTGATTAGATTTACCACACAGTATAACAGTACTGTTGACTGGATTAGGTTTCGGATATAATTTATTGTTCATAGTCATATCAGGACAACTATACAACTTTGAGACATCCTTTATATAGTCCTAGTTACGAAGCCTCGTTTGTGATATGGACAGTAAGATTTTACATGTATCCGGAACATATGCTGAGTCATTCCTGTTGCATGTATTAGGATATGTGGAAAATCGTACTGCCCATATCACAAAGGAGGCTTGGTAATTAGGACTATGTAAAGGATATCTCAAAGTTGTGTAGTTATCTTGATATGACTATGAACAATAAATTATATCCGAAACGTAATCTATTAAACAATACCGTTACATTGTGATAAATCTAAGAAATCAATTAAAGTGGTTAGAACAAGTGCTCTTCAACCAACAGCCGTTTTGAAAGAGATTATGCTGTGCGTCTTATTTAAGTTAGGTAGAGAATATTTGTCAGATTTTACAGTTGTCGTTCTTGTGAGAAAAGATTAACATAGATGTTATGGTAGTTTTCTAACAAAATGTAGTCATTGAGTAGTTCAGTGATGAACTCATACATGGAAACAGTCACGTGTCTTTCAGTTTCATCCTTGATATATATTTCCTGTCTAACACTTGCTTAAGACTACTCCGAAACAGAAATGTCCAGGTTACCGTTTAGTCACTTGATCTTCTTAGCATTTCAGTAGTCCATACGCCCGTTCCAATTTTCATTTGTCTTCAGCTAACGCGTTGGCTTATTTTCCAGGTAACGTATAACAAACAATTCAGTTCCCTAAGGAAAGAATCCTTAATGATACTGAAACTTTCTTTATCACCCAAGATAATGTTCGCAATCGATCTAGTATTATAGGTGCATCCATACATTATCTTTATCATCAGTGCCATGCCGAATTTCGTATTTGTTTTATTCCTTCCTCTCTATTTTTACATCTTTTTACTTCTTTCGACTCCTTCCTTGCTGTCCTTCATCTGCCATAACTTACGGATGTGATTTGTAGCAACTTGAACCCTTGTGCAGTAATGCGAGATTCCACGTTGATACTGATTAAGCGGACCCTCCTATACAATTTCACATACTTTGATGCCACTGTTGTTTTATCAACTTCTTTGCATACTTTTGTGAAGCGTGGTAACTTAATCTAATGCTTCTCTGTGACAGGTTCCACGTTGATTTCTCTGCCTATAGAGTGTTGTGACTTTTGATTCGCTACGCTAATTAGATTTTGTCGATCAACTAATGCAATATGGTGCCTTAACCACTTATCACATCATCATACTTAGTGTATGAAAGTAGGCAAAGTTTATCTGACCCTACAAAGCGAAAACTGCTGTGACACCTTAAACTGATGTAATGAGCGGTCCAAGAAAGAAGAGTTCCTTTTTCGGATGCATTTCCGTCTTCCTACTTTAATTTTTTAAACAATAAGTAACCTAGATCTACCAAGGTTATTTATCGATTATGATGAAACAAAAAAATGCAAATGAAACTATTTACAAGATTATATACTTAGGCTATGCACCGCATATAGTATGATGGGTAGCAACGCTACATTGCGCTTTAAACCTGAAGTGCTGGAGTAGAGTTCGACCACGTGACAAACTGGTTGACAGTTAAATGTTTCAATGATCCACACATTTCGACTGTTGGATATTTAACTGAAATTAATCATTACTTAAGTATATATATATTCGTTTGTTTGTTATCAAAACCTTTTAGGAGTGATTAGTGAGAAACGCCTACGTGAATTAATGACTACTATGGGAGATAGATGGTCAAATGAAAAGGTCGACGAATTATTTCACGGTGCACCGATTCAAGATGGGAATTTCGACTACAAAGAATTTACACGGATGATTATGCATGGTCAAGAGGAAGAAGAAGGTCAAGCCAATGAGGCATAAGTGATCATTACCATTGTTACAGTAGGAAAGAAGATCGAACTTTTTTTATGATATAACATTTTAAAAGTTTTACACATACTTGCTTACTTATCTCTTTCTTCTTTTTATTATTATCACATTCCAATTTTATTCCTTGCTTCCTTTTGCCTTACACATAATGCATATATATGCTTTTAATCGCTTCGTTGATGAATTTTATCTCCTTTGTTGTTGAAAAACATTTTATATGTATTTTACAAAAACAGGTTGGACCACTTGTGTTTGTCTTTCGTGTTTAGTTTCCAATGGTAAATGGATATTTTAATAGTTGGGACTTCTATAATCTGATTGTATAATCTATGGAGAAATTTTGATAATTCATTTTCTGATTTCCAAGTCATATTAAAACCCGGAACGACATCCATCAGATACTGCTGGATCTGATAGTGAACTTCAAACTAGGCTTGAATTTAGGTCCACCTACGATGTTCGTTGTAGCTAGGTGTAATTATTACTATTTGGAGAATGAATGAGGTTCTTAGCTGAATACATAAACTTTTACTCATATATGAGTTATATGTATAGGTTGAAGGTAAAGACCCCGTAAACCAATCAATAAGTTTCTGTACCTGAATCACCAGAGGTGGTTGTGTTACGCATAAAGAAGTGAAGTCCACAAGATGATAACTCTCTGATCTTTTGTCTCTATTCAACGAATTCATTATTACATCAATAACCATTTTATAGTTGAAGTATTTCTGAAGAAAAGCAAGGATGCGCGAATTATATCCGAACGTCTCATTGAGTAGCATAGATTTGAAATATTCGATTCGCCTTTAACGAACGGAAAATTCCCATTGCTAAGTGATAAATCAAAAACGTAAAAGGGAAGAAAACTTTCTTCTCTATGATTTCGTATTTGAAATCGTCGGGAACAAATAACTGTTGTTAATCAACTGAGACACATGATTACTATAATGCCCAAAGGTAGAATAGAAAGTTTCTAAAGACAGACGACAATTATTATTTTGAACATGATAAGGCTAATGGAGGCACGTAATGCTTTTTAACTCGAAGATCTGCTTTAAAGTTATGGATTGCCAGTGATTGGACTATGGCGCAGTCGAAGGCCTTTGGGATTGTGGAGGGGGGGGAGGGGTGTTGGAGGTTGACACTGTGAATTACTTCGAAAGAACTACTAAAACATGTCAGATATCTGAAGATGACATGATGTTCAAGAACAGCATCCTTGATATCCTTTCTTTGTTTGGATAACCCGATCTTTGGGTTCAAAAACATTACATGCATTCAAAAGCACTATCATGGGCAAAATAGTAAATCTCTTCCATCTTTAGAGATTTTCTGTTATACTCTTGAACATTATAGTAATCAAGTTTCCTTCTTGGTGAACAACAGACTGTTGTTTCCAATGGTTTTGAATTCTATAGCTTCAGTAAGTGAAATCATGAAAAGGAAGATTTGCTTTTAGTTTAAGGAGAGTTTAATTCGAATGTTCCTGTCTTTTTTATTATCGGGTGTGTATTACTGACTGATATGCGTAGTTACAGACCATTTACACTGATCAGCACTGCTTGCTTGATACATCGAAACGATTTAAATACCTGATAGTCCTTTCACTCACTCGTGGTTTAACTCATTAACTATGATGCCTAACTGATCCATGTGAGCAAGTCAGTTGAGTCATAAGAGCTGTTTTCATTGTATTTTAAAATAAGATGATTTGGGGACCGATACTAGTTGTAGGCATATCTATATTCCGCTCAAATTGTCGATATTATGTAATCGGTACTGTTTGCCACCTACAGCTGGTCGTTATATTCATCCTACGGACGGACTATAAATGTCGCTTGCTGGTTTAGGCCGTTGACTTTCAACCGGCTGATCACGAGTCCGAACCCGGCTACAACTACAACTGAAATATTGCACATTTAGCTCCCTTGACAAATTTGAACAATGCAAGAACAAAGACATTTGAAGAATAAAATGAGCTCATTTTATTTTATCGGATGCAAAAAGCCTACAAATGAAATGAAATAGTAGTAATAACGACAATATACTTTAAGTATGTAGAAATAAATGAAGATTTGAAATCCAGGATTAAGGTAGCGAATCGACGAAACAAGGTGAATAACCACAAACCTCAGCCGAGATCAATGCCATTCATATACGACTAAACAGAAGATTTTTGAGCTGTAGGAGGGAGGGATAACAAATACACAGGGGTGTAAGAGAACGGGTTGTTAACGGGCAAATGGGTTTAGTAATCATGTGGAAAAATGTTAGGTCGGGAGTTTGACAGTCAGTAGTTAATTAATAAAGAAAAGATGCAATCAGAAAAGGGAAACCATATACATACATATGTGGAAAGTTATATGCAGTTGCTGAGGTAAAGGAAAGTCAATTACAGTCTGATGTTGAGTACATAGGTCAGGTTGAAAATATTTGATGACGAGAGCTCCCACAAACCGTAATGGACATGGTCTTCTGCGTTTGTTGATTATCCTGAAGGATTGAGAAACGTATTTGATATCCTGTTCCCACCAGGTGCCTGACGATTGCATCGGTTAAGACCTTACCACGTTTCAGGCACACCTATCTCCTAATATCCACATAAAACTGAGTAAACGCCCTTCTTTCGGTTCTTTCCATGTATTCGCTTTCACAAGCACAAGTGAATTGATATATACGGTTGGAGATGACGTGAGCCGGGCATTTGTCTACTTTCAACCGTGTTATTGATCATTCTATATCGTAAACTGAGATCAGACTGGCAGCAGGACAGCTCCTCCTCAGTGCAGCTTTTATTCGCTTGTCTATTGCTTCAGATGTCTCATCATCTTCGAATGCTAGACGAAAGAAAACAGGTTTCTTCCCAACACCTGGGTGTTTGGGTCTCAAGAAATTCTTTTACATGTTTCATGCCGAACCTTTTCGGACATCAATTCTGTATAACAGCCTCCTTCTTCTTCCTGTTTGTTTTTCGAGCACAGCTTTTTATTCTAGTGACTAGCGTCTTAACCAAATCACGCTTATAGCTGATAGGACAGAAACTGTTGTAGTGAAGGTACTGATCAATCCATGTGTGTTTCCTGTAGATATTTTTCTCAACTGTAGCATCACATCTCCGTTATATACTCCGAGCCAAAATTTTAATGTCTTCATTTTCATATTCCATTGTAAATCTCATTTGAGAATGGGCTTGGTTGAAAGTATCGAATAAATTCGACCCATGATTCATATCATCACAGACAATGAAAGTATCATCGACATATTTACGGTAATAAGTCGTTTCTTTTATCACAGAGTTGAGACATGTTCTTTCGAGACGAACCATAAGTGTATCAGCTAGGATAGGTTTTAGTGGTGAACTAAAAAGCCACTCAATCAGTTTGCCTGTATAGTTGATTATTGAACAGGAACTGAATACCTTTTGTGCAGAGGAGTAGTAATCGTGTGAGTTTAATTGTCAGCAATGTGAGTAGATCAGGTTGCTGACAGATTATTTCTATCGTTTCATCCGCTGGTATGATATATTTGACATCAAATAGTTTAGATCACTTATCAACTCATGCATTAAACATGGTGATTCTCAGGCGATATCCACTAACCTACGTCGCATATAATGCTAGCGAATTATTTCTTTGTTTCCAAACATTAACTTGTGCACAAATCGAGTGTCAGTCAATCGGAGAATTTTTAATGGATAGTGATATTCAACTATCAAGTTAGGTGGAATTCAACTACTAACATGGCGAATGTAACTTAATGATGTGATGAATACTTTTACTTTGAATGTAAGTATACAGGAAGCGCAAGTGATACCATTGGTTTGACTACATTTATTGTTTACTTCCTGCCTTTCACTTATATGGTAGATTAAAAGGATAATTAATTTCTAAGGGATAAATTAGCCATTTTTTCTTTTATACTTACATTAATCTGAACAAAATATTCGCCAATCGTTGCAACAACTAAGCATAAGTCAGTGTGTTGATTAATAAAGAGGTGAAATCGATATTGTTGCAAGATTTTATCTTGGTTGAATTAATTAACAAAAGTAGAACATTCCAGAAAGCAAGATATACAATAGGCAAAACGTTTTACACTTCATTATTGTATGTTTATCTGACTGCATTCCATACACCAGACTTCTGAAATACTGTTTCTGTCATTAATATTCCTAAACACTGCTAACTCACACGTATCAGACGTTATGCAAACAGGAGATAATGTGACATACAAACAGAAAAAGACTGTTAAGTTTCAAGCCAATTAAACCAACAGTAAACTAAGGCAGATATCAGCGTTTGTAAAATGAAATTTCGCTTACTAATTAGCATATTCAAAACTGGTAGACTTCCTTTCACACAAGAAGTCATCCACTCTATATTCTAATCCACTGAAAGGGAATATGCTCAGAACTTTATTCGATAGAATTAGTAAGATAATATTAATAGCACAGTCAAACTCGAAACAAAAAACTTTCAAAGCAAAGTCTTCTTAAAATGGATAAATCTTCATAAACCTCCATACTAAATTAGTGTCCAGTGCTCATTGGTAACAAAATTCGAGATTGGTTTCTCAAAGTTCTAATAAAAATTTGTGGTCTGTGATGTGAAAAGAATTTGTGCGTGAGCACAAATACTTGCTGCTTGCATCGGATAATGGTTGTTCTGTGTCACAAGTGGACAGAAACAAGAAAATGTGAACCACTGGATTGCAACCCCGTGGTCCAATATTATCAGGCTGACCAAAGAACCTGAAGGTTCTTGACTTGGTCTTTGATGGGGTTATGGATGGGCCTGCTGTGGAGTCAAATACTAGGATGAAATGGCTGTCCAGTGTTACCAGGTTTTCAGTGGTTTTCCAAGTGATATACGTCCGTAATGTTTACCACTTTAAGACGGATATCCTGAAAGATACATCAGTTCGCCGGGAATACAGAAAGGAAGACTGTTTTCACATCTTGAAAAGAGTTGTGTACCTCAGTCTACTATTTAAAGGATACAATTTGCATGATATAATCATTGTAGACTTCATACAAACATAAGAAGAACTTACTCAGCAGCAAAATTACTGTGTGTTAGCAACTCGAAGAGAGCGAAACGATAAACCAAGGAAGGCGAAACGCCAAACCTCTACAATTTTGACTGCATTTGTCTGTCACAGAATCTGTTTACGGAAGCAAATACATGGGTCTCGCGAAAAGGCGGCTGACTGAACACCTACACAAATGGTTAAGTAGTTACGAACTGGAAATTATGAGATGCATCTATAACCAAACATCCCCTAAACCTTAGGCATGAAATTGTTTACAGTCATCAGAAGATAACAAAATAAGAAGCTGCATGCAATC